AAACAAATAGGGTGGTAAGGAAGGCGGATAGCATGCCTGCTTCTTTTGGTCAGGGAATTGAGTCAGGATGTCATGTTGCAGCTTTATAATATTTTGGTTAGGCCACACTTAGAGTAGTGCATTCAATTCTGGTCGCCACATTACAGGAAGGATGTGGAGGCTTTACAGAGGGCGCAGAAAAGGTTTACTTGGATGCTGCCTGGATTAGAGGGTATGAGCTATGAGGAGACGCTAGAAAAACCAGGGTGTTTTCTCTGGACCGGCAGTCACTGAGAGGAGACGTCATAGAAGGTGCATAGATAGGGTTGGTGGTCAAAATCTTTTTCTTGAGTTGAAACGTCTAAATACTAGGGGACATGCATTTAAGGTTAAAAGGTTTAAAGGAGATGTGAGGGGCAATTTTTTTTTACACAGAGAGTGGTAGAGGTCTGGAACGCATGGCCAGGGGTGGTGGCGGAAGCAGATACAATAGGGGTGTTTAAGGGACTTTTAGATAAGCACATGAATATGCAAGGAATGGAAGGATATGGACCAAGGGCAGGCAGAAGGGATTAATCTAATTTGGTGTATTGTTCCGCACAACATCATGGGCCGAAAGGCCCCTCCCTGTGCTGTACTGTTCGCTGTCCTATGTTCTATGTTCTAAGAGAGATGTATAAAAAGGATTGATACAGTGCCACCCGCTTAACACGGTGACCCAAAGTTAAAAATTATTCCTGTACAGTTTTATGCACCTTTGATTTGTGCTCTTATCTAGTTCCTTCGTTAAGAAAATCAGGATAATAATAATGTTAGTGTTTACAACAATTATTGAACTTGCAAGAACAAAAAAAAATGTCCAAATCAATATACTGAAAAACAGATGCAACAAAACAGCAACACAGTTGAAAGCTAACTTTATGATACAAATAGATGTCACAGGAAAAACAATGATGCCCAGTTTATTCCCAATTTAGAATTAGAATTAGGTTTATTGTTACGTGTACTCAAGTACAGAAGTACAGTGAAAAGTTTACAATGTCGCCCCACGTGGCGCCATCTTAGTTACAATGTACCTAGGTACAAATCGTAGATATAAAATGGAGAAATAAAGAAAAAGAGTTACATTATTTTACAATTATTCATAGTATAAGTTTAAAAATAAGAAATAAAGTTAAAAAGATAAACATTACAGTCTTTCTATAAAGGACCTGCAGTACATCAACAGAGGGGGCTTCCACATATGGTCTGATTGGGCTCCCAGCTAAGAATTGGTGCAAAGATTTCTGGGTGGCAGCATTTAAAAAAATCTAACTTCTTTGTTTAAAAAAATACGTATCCCATATATTAGCAACCACAAAAAGGGCCTGAAATCTAACTGAACTAAAGACGTTAATTAGCCCAAGGTAAAACAGGAAAACAATTGTCAAGGCAATTGTCAAACATTAAACTAAAGAATGGCCTCACAACAAAGTTGAAATACACAATCTTCTGATCTCCTCCCAGAACTTTAGCACAAGGTCAATGGTGGATATGGCTTTTACATCATTTTTCAAAATTCTCAAAGTTACAGTGGGAACTTCTGAGAATCTGCAGCTTTCTGAAGATTAAGCCAAACATTCCCAGTGTGTAATATCAAATGTATACCATGGTCAGTCAGTTCACATTGAATTAAAAATTTAAACTTGCTTTCCAAAATGCAAATTTTAGCAAGCTCAAGTAAAATATCATGGAGCATTTCAATATGAAGGAGATGGTAATTACGATTAACAAGCATAATTACAAATTCACATACAGTTTCCAGCATGCTCTTTCTCTAAAGCTTCCTAATATCTCAAAGGACGCCCCCTATGAAATCTGATTAAATTATTGCCACTCAGCAGTTCCTAACAATTGTTTGGTCATGTGGCTCAACTAGCACAGTAAAACAAAACTCCTACTTTTAATAGTAATTTCCTTCTCTTCATCAGAGACAATCAAATATCTTGCACACTTCATTCCACAAAATGACTGACAGTTATGAGAAAGCACTTAAGGCTTGTGATTTTGTGGCATCCACTGTTGCCATAAACTGGAGAAACCAGCCTGTTGACTGGTACTACTTCTTTGGTTTGCGGCCAAACCTTACAGGAATACATTTACAATGATCAGCAAATAAACTTGTTTCAGTGAAATATGAGTTTTGCATTCAACATAAATAAAACTACATCTCAAAGAACTTACGAAAGAAATCAGTTTCAATTCATTGTCAGGACGGTATAAAATTGTGTAGTCATCTGATTTAAAGCAAAGGGAACAACTTTACTTTTAACGGCTATGCAAGTGGAATGGCTTTGATGATTGACTCACTTTCAATGACAAATTGTTTAACATCAACCATCAACGTACAAACAACAGAGTACATCAAAGTTCTGATGAAAGATCACAGAACACAAACATTTACTCAGTTTCTCATTCCATAGATTTTGACAAAGTTGTAAGGTATTGTACAATTTCAGCATTGATAGTATTTTGCTTTTGTTCATCAAAGTACAATAGAAGCCAATTAGAATCTGGATTCTGAGATCCAAAAAGTGAGACTGCATTGTAGCTTTTTGTTAGTTAGAATTTTGTTAGTTAGAAAACCTCTATTTTCTCCCATTTTTAACTTGCAAACTGAAAATATAAATTAGGATTTATCTTTTTTGGAAACCATGAGGCGCGCATATTATAAATGATTTTTTGGTATTTTGAACCACGCTCTAACAGACTTCCACTGTTCTACAAATATTGAAGGAACAATTCTGTGAAGCTCTATCTTTAGCCTGAAGCATAAATTCAACTCCAGGTTACTGCATCTTTGATAGATTAAGTTGTGAAATGAGATCAAGTTAGACTGTCAGAACTTTATTCTGCAGCTAAATTGAACTGAAGCCTGGGGATGTTTGATGCTAAGACCAGACTCCCAAAGGATGACCCCTCCTCGTACTAGGTGATGAGCAGTTAAATAGCCCCAGTTACACTTCTGGCATTCAGAGGGAATTTTTTAATGCTATTTTGTCAAGATTTTTCTGTTTTGTTTGGCTGAAGCTTTTGCAGATGAGTGGAAGAACTCTGCTGGAAATTCAACACATATGCATCAGCATCAAACACTTGTGGAAATAGCAAAGTACTGCAAATCCTGGAGAGCTGAAATATAAACAGAAAGTGCTGGAGAAACTTAAAACATCTGGCAGCATCACGGCTGAGTCCATTTGCATTCCGAAGAAAAGTCATATTGGGCTCAAAATGTTAACTCTGTTTTTCTCTCTCTACGGATCCTGCCAGACCTTCTGAGTTTCTCCAGCACTTTCTGCTTTTATTTCAAGACTTGTGGGTCAGGCATATCACTTCATACAACCAGTCATAGGTTAACATTGGGAAGATTGATTACTTGTCCTTTACTTTAGTCAAGAAATCATCTGAAAAGAGTAAACTAAAATGAAGCATATTAAAGTGACAGGAGTTGATTTTTCCTCATTATTAACAGCCAATTTAATCTAATTCCAAAAACCTATTTCCAAAATTCTACTTGCATGAAAGTTTTTACTAGTTTCTTTTCATTAATCAACATGCAATATGAATTAATATGTACAACCCAGACTTAAAAACATATGGCGCATTTTCCCTGGGTTTAGATGACTGTAATGTCCATGCAAACAGATTCACAAAGTCTGAGACTGGAAGTATTCCAGACCAAGTGTTTGTCCCTTAGATTCAGATTGTGCTTGTTTTCTTGCCTTTGAATGCAATCTATTTTGCAGGTAATTTTTAGCTTTGTGACACAAGGCTAAACTTTCACAATATCAATACAGGTCACTTCAATATTTATTACAGAACTTTGCTTACCTGGACAGAGGAATAAAGTGCCTGTGGGAGGAGTCTCACATCTGAATCAGAAAGCTGCGGGTTTAGGCTCTACTTAGAGGTATGAGTACTTAACCTAGGCTTGCCCTTCTACACAATACAAATTTACTGTTGGGAGGTACTGATTTTTGGATGAGACATTAAACTGTGGCTGCACTGGTCCTCTCGGGTGAACTTAAAACATTCCATGGCATCATTCAGGAAACTTTCCCAATGTTCAATACGCAGATAAAATTGTTTTGGTCAGATATTTCACAGCTATTTGTGGGAGCTTGCTGTGTGAATATTAACTGCCACATTTCCTCCTTTACAATAGTGACAGCTGGTGTATAGCACTTCGGTGCCATGTAAATGCAAGTCCTTCTATTTCAATGCACATTTATTTAAACAGCGCTGCTTTTGGATGTGAACAATACTGAGGCAGCACGACCAAAATCTATTCGGATCAGATTAAAAACTTTTATTCAATGAACTAAGTCCAAAGTTTTAGGACTTTGGTATAATGTCTTCTGATTTTTTTTGTCCTGAACTTTCTTTTGAAAAGACACCAACTCATCCCTAAGGAGTGTTTGCACAATAGTTTTAGCAGTTTTTCTCACTCTACACCAGGTTCCAATGCATGGATTATTATTTAGCAGAAAATATTAAAAGATGTTATATAACTTAGAATGCAAATGGCACTGTGAATTTCATACAAAGACAATAGTATGTGTGGCAATAGTTACTGAACTTTTTTTTATTAAACTGGTAAAAAGATCTCAATGGCTTCTCCTATTTTTCCCAAAACATGAAGAAACTACTATGGATGAAATTCCTACTTGACAAAATAAAACCATTGTCAAACATCATAAGGGTAGGGTGAAATTTTGTTCTGTGAACTGAAACCATGTTGGTGCTGAAGGCTAATTCCCATATAAAATGAGCCAAGGTATGCATTAACCCACCCTAGATGCAGAATGATGGCCAGGTGCTTAACAACGGCGCATATCCAAAATACTAGTGAAGATTATAGCTCATGGATTATACAGCAAAATTGTTAAAGGCTTGGAAGTAGATCACTTCTTCATTCCTATAACAAGGTAATGCATTAAATCTGTTCCCAAAACATTCTGTACGCATTCTAACCAACCTCTTACCTCATAAGGCAGTTTTTCAAAATAACCATTCTTGATGTATTCAGGCAGGGGTATTCCAGTGATTTGCCCATTGAAGAACTCTAAACTGTGGTCATCCTTGTCATCATCTTCCAGATCTAGCATCGATGGTTTGTGCACAGGAAGAAGCCTGTCCTTAACACCATGTAACAGGACAGCATCCAACTCTGTGTAGTAATCTAGGAGAGAACTGTTCAGTTCCAAGCGAATCAAGTTTGTCATGAAGTCAAGTTGTTTAATGCATGGTGTAAATTGGCGAGCCTGTGAGACATTCACTTTCTCAGGTTCACCTGCCCATAACGTCTCCCATCTGTAGGCACAAAAAACATTAAGCTTGTCAGGATGAAATCAGCCTCAATCTATTAGCTAAAATCATTCATTCATACAATATTTTCAAATTCCAATTTGTATGATACGACTCACTGAAATTGTGCCAAAAGATCATTCAAATGGAATTTCACAAAACTGTACAACAAACACATTTGTAATTTTCTAACTGAGCAATGTATGTGACTGGTGTTGTTAGGATGGTACAGGTCATATGATGGGACAAATCTGGTCTTATGAAATAACAATTAGTTTTGAATAAAGCACATTAGCACTGCATCTTGGCTAAAATACACTTGCAAGTCTTCTCAAAAATGTTTCCCCATTTGACCTTACATGCACATACTATCATTTTTCATTTTTTAATATCACATGTGAAACAAGGTACTCAGAACATACAAAAGACTCACTCAGAAATGAGTAAATTATATTTCTTGGATTCATTCGCTTCTACATGCTACACAAACATACTTTAGGATGAGGGACTATTATAATAGTGTATTTCATTAACATTGATCAACAGGACATAGTCTTCTCATCAATACGATCAACAAACCAACAAGAGTTGCAACTCTTTTGTGTTGGTTCCGGAAGTCAAAACCATTTATTTAGTTTCATCCTTTTATCCGCAGCTCAAGAGGCAGCATTCTCACCTCGACTTGTAGGCTCTGGGTTTCAAGTCTCATTCCGTGGCTTGAGCACAAAGATCATGGCTGACACTCCTACTGCAGTGCGTTAGGAAGAGATGTCTTTTAGATGTAAAAACATCTGAAGTATGTTGTGGAGGTGCCGGTGTTGGGCTTGGGTGGGCAAGGTCAGAAGTCACATGACACCAGGTTACAGTCCAACAGGTTTATTTGAAATCACAAGCTTTTGGAGCACTGCTCCTTTGTCAGGTGAAGTGAATAAAAGCACACAGGCATAGGCTGCCTTTATATTCTGTGCCTGTGTGCTTTTCTTCACTTTACCTGATGAAGGAGCAGTGTTCCAAAAGCTTGTAATTTCAAATAAACCAGATGGGGTATTTTGAACAAGGATATTCTCCCTGCTAGCCTAGCCAATATTTATCCATCAATTAATGAACAAAAACAAATCTGGTCATTGTCACATTGCTTCTGGAGTTTGAGTGCGCAAAGTTTATGCCACTTTTTCTTCAAACAGTACAGCAGAGAAATATTTCATTGGTCGTAAATCAGTTTAAGACATTCCATAGAACCACAGAAATGAGACAGCACAGAAAGAGGCCATTTGGCTCATCTTGTCCAAGCTGACCCAAAGACACCCAGATGCCCTTTCTAATCCCATCTTCCTGCACACGGCCCATAGCCCTGCAGCTTACAGCACTTAAGGTGCAGAAACAGGTTCTTGCTAAAAGAGTTTCGTGTCTCTGCCTCCACCATCAGCTTAGGCAGTGAATTCCAGAGACCCGTCACCCTCTGCATAAAAAAGCTTTGCCTCACATTCCTTTCATGCTTCTGCCACTTAGCTTCAATCTATGACCTCTGATTTTTGAATTCTCTGACAAGGGAAACAGGTCCCTCCTGTCTACTCTATCTCTAACCCTCACAATTTTGTATACCTCATTCATGTCACCCCTCAGCCTTCTCTGTTCCAAGGAAAACAACCCCAATCCCAATATCTCCTCGTAACTACAATTCTCAGCTTGGGCAACATTCTGGTAAGTCTTCTCTGCGCTCTCTCCAAAACAAATACGTCCTTCCTGTAATGTGGTGACCAGAATTACACACAATACTCTAGTTGTGGCCTCATCAGTGTCTTATATAGTTTCATCATTATATCCCTACATTTTTATTGTATTCTTCTACCAATGAAGGAGTGCATTCCATGTACCACTTCACCTACCCGTCTCAGTATATTCCTGCTTATTTACTGTTTGATTTCCCTAAATGCAGTACCTCAATCACACTTATCAGAGTTGAACTCCACCTGCCACTTTCCTGCCCACTCCACCATCTATATCATTTGGCATCCTGCAGCCAATCTCTACACTATCCACTCATGGCCAATCTTTGTGTTATCTGCAAATCCCAATTGTGCCCGTCACATTCAAGTCCAAATTGTTAATGTATAAAACAAACAACAGGGTCCCCAGTATCGAGCCCTGCAGAACATCACTTGAAACAGCTTTCCATTTGCAAAGCCAGACACTGACCATTACCCTTTGTTTCCTGTTATTAAACTAACTTCGGATCCAATTCAACACGTTATTATGTATTCCATGGGGTTTTACTTTTTGACCAGCCTGCCATGTAGGACCTTGTCAAATGCCTTACCAAATTCCATGTAAACAACATCTACTGTACTACATTCATCAATCCTCCATGTCACTTCCTCAAAGAATTCAATCAAATTTGTAAGACATGACCTATTCTTAACCAATCCATCCTGACTATCCATGACTAGTCTATACCTTTCTAGGTGACAGTTTATCTGATCTTTCAGGATTGATTCTAACAATTCGCCCAACACCAAAGTCAGACTAACCGGCTTATAATTTCCTTTGTATCCTTCAGCACATCACCTATGTCGAGAGAAGGTTGAAAAATAATCCTAAGAGCATCCACTTTTTCCTCTTTGATCTCCTTCATAATTTCTTGGGAACAATCCATGCGGCACTGGTAACTCATCCGCTTTCAAGGATTCCAACTCCTCCAATACTTCCTCTTTCAATATGATTATTTTGTCCAATATTTTACACTGCTCCTCTTGACTTACTGTATCCAAATGATCCCTTTTCATTGTGAATATGGAGATAAAAAATTCATTTAAAATTCTTCCAACATCCTCTGCATCTTCACACAAGTTCTCTTCTTTATCTCTGATAGGTCCCTCTTTTACAGCAACTACATTTTTGCAATTTATATATTGGTAAAACATCTTTGGGTTTTTCTTTACCTTGCCTCATAATATATTCTCATGCCCTCTCTTTAATTTTCCTTTTTGATTTAACTGTTACTTCTTTGCTTCTCGTTACTCTTATTTCTCTTTTTACTTCTTTTTAACCATATTCAGTAAAAAGTACTGTATAAATGTAAGGGTTTCTTTTTTTTTCTTTTGATAGCACGCGTAATAAAAGATTCAATGGTTGATGCTGGACTGATTTAGCAAATTATCATTATGTTGTGGGAAAATTATAATTAAGTATTATATTTTGTGTGATCCTTTATGTTCATCAACACAATTTGCTACTGCAGTAACAAGTAGCATGATGATACATCTGAACAAGCTGAATCTTTTGCACAGAGCTTATTTCAAGAATTTCTTTTATAGCTATTGTTATAGTCCATAGCGTCACAATAGTAAACTGGTGGGTAAGTACCAAGAATCAGTGACAAAGTTACTGGCATTCTCAGAATCAATCAGTAAACCATAAGGAGAGATGGCTGCTTTAAGTATTCAAGTGTAAGGACATTACGTCTCTGTTGGGTTGACTCTGTGTCATCTGTTTGGAAAAGAGGAACAGAAGCCAGGCAGAGAGTTATTTAGTTGAAGGATCTCAAGAAGAATCCAAAATGCTGAACAAAAAACCTGGTCCTAACATTTTTGTGCTTTCATTATCAGCCAAAGGAGAAATATAGGAAATTAGAGCAGGAATAGGCCATTTGGCCATTTGAGCATACTCTGCCATTCAAACAGATCATGGGAGACCATTCAACTCCATGCCTTTTCCCCAACAATCATTAGCATCACTTAATCTATCAATTTCTGTCTTGAACATGTTCAATGATTGAGCTCCCACAGCTCTCTGGGGCACAGTATTCCAAAGATTCACCACCCTCTTAGTGAAGAAATTCTGTTCATCTGTGTCTTAAGGGGCCTGTCCTTATTTGAGACTCTGTCGCCTGATAATAGACTCATTAGCCAGAGGAAAGATCCTGTATACATCTTCCTTACATTTATGCCTTGTAAGGATTTTGCAATGTTCAATTAGATCACCACTAAGCCTTCAAAACACTGAAAATACAGGTCCAGTTTCCTGAATCTCCCCTCACACACTATCACAGGGATTACCCTGATGAACATCTGCTGCGCTTCTTTGCAAGTACATTCTTCCTTAGATAAGGAGACCGAAACTGTACACAATATTTGAGATGCAGTCTCATAAACGCTCTATACAACTGCAGCAAGTCAAGTTTGTTTCTGTACTCAGATTCCTTTGCAATGAAGGACAACAGACCATTTACCTTCCTAATTGCTTTCTGCAGTGGCATGTTAGCATTTCATAATTCATGAACAAGGCCACCAGGATCCTTTGGACATCAATGCTTCCCAACCTCTCACTATTTAAGAATAATTCTGCCTTTCTGTTTTGTATTCCTGTGAAAGTGAATAACTTTACACTCATTCACATTATATTCTCTCTGATCTTGCCCATTCACTTAGCCTGTCAACAATAATGTTTGTTTCAGTATATCTCATACTCTATAAATATAGAAATTGTATCTTACAAGAAGAATGAAACCTGGCTCCCATAAAGTTTATGTCTATCAGCCTAGAAGCTCTCATGCTTATCAAGGAGATCTCTACTTCGATCCAAATGCTGAAGACTGAATGCTCTTTTTGTGAACTTGTTGTCAAATAAGGGTATCATATTGGTCTCTGGAGAGATAAACGAGTCATCAAATGACAGGTACGCTTGAAGACCACTGTGCATAAGGTCAGCCCAAAGGGAAACTCTCTAAATAGATAGCTTGGCCTTCCTGCTGTAGCAAAGATGTTGTGAAACCTGAAAGCGTTCAGGAAGAATTTATAAGGATGTTGCAGGGATTGGAGGGTTTGAGCTGTTTGAGGGTTTGGAGGAGAGGCTGAATAGGCTGGAGCTATATTCCCTGGAGTGTTGGAGGCTGAGGAGTGACCTTATAGAGGTTTATAAAATCATAAAGGGCACGAATAGGGTGAATAACCAAGGTTTTTTTTCACAGGGTAGGGGAGTCCAAAACTAGAGGGCATGGGTTTTAGCAG